TAAGGTATTATGGATTGAATTGTTAAACCAAAAGATATATTGCAGCTCTAACCTGTGGTACCTGGGCTGTATGTAACCTTATCTGAAAGCAGAGCCTTAGCAACATAATAAATTTAAAATGGGATCATATTGACTTAGGGCAGGTCCTAAATGCAATGACCCCTGTTCTTATAAGTAGAGAGAAATTTGGAATAAACATTCAAAGGACAGACAAGCATGTTCAGGATGACAGAGACTGGACTAATGTGGCCATAAGCCATCAATGCAAAGCATTTCTACCAGAAGCTAGGTGAGACAAGGAAGGGGACTTCTCCAGAGCTCTCAGAATACCACCCTAACACCTTAATGTTAAGCCACCTGTTCTAGAAAACTAGTAAATATGGCATGCATACAATTTTAAGGTTAGTGTTTTAAAAATGTGATTCTTTAGCATTCTTATGTTTTACTTCAAAAGACATACTAAACTTGGCAATTTATTTTGTTAATAATTTAATTCAAAAATAAGATATGGCTTTTAATTGCCTATATTAATTGTGATTCAATTATAACAGATATTTAGTGGCCGTGTGTGTGTGTGTGTGTATGTGTGTGTATGCAGAAGCCAGAGGAAGTCAGATCTCCTTCTCTATCATTCTCCATCTTGTTGTCTTAAGACAGAGTCTCTCACTGAACTGGAGCTGAACTGGCAGCCAGCAAGCCTCAGAGATCTTCCTGTCTCTCCCCCTTAAAGCACTGGGGTTATGGGCATGTGGGCAGCCACACCCTCCTTTAGCCTGTGTGCTGGGGATTTGAACTCAGGTCTTCATGTTTGTACAGCAAGTGTCCTTACCCACAGAGTTACTTCTCCAGCCACCTTTTTTATTATCAGCCCAATGAGTCATCACATTCATAAGATTTACCTGGTCCATATGGCTGAAAAGTTAGTAAGTCTCCAAGTGCAATAAGTTTCTCCTGTTGAAAAATTTTATAATCAAAGAATTAAATGACAGCAAATACTAAATTATTCTTTAGTAGAAAAATTCTTTGATTCTTGATTTCAAATAAACAACAAATACTTTTAACATAGTAAAATTATAACCAGATTAGTAACATACGTCTGTTGATTTGTCCAGACTTACTGCCTTCTGATTTTCATGAATATGATGCAAATTGAACTCAGAAAACAATGCATGCCTTAGCCTGGTAGAATCAGTTTAGGATCATGATCAAGCCAGTGCCCTTGCAAGTACTCTGCCATTACCTGAGTTAGATCACTTGCAATCCTGTTAATTATCTGTTTACTTATTGCAATATCTTTGAGATCTGTAAGAACCACCCAAGTTCCATTCTCAAATTTCACAGGCATAGAAAAGACGATCCCTTCAGGAATACCAAACTGGCCTGAGTGAGCAAACACAGGACAAAGCATAAATCAATAAAAATGAACTCAGAAAAATAAAAACGGCACACATAGTATGTGATTTTTTAAAAAATGTTTATTATTTAATTATTTTTATTTTTATGTGTATGAGTATTTTGATTGCATGTATGTAAGTGCACCCATGTCATGAAATGCCTGTAGGGGCCAGATGAAGGCATCAGATCCCTAGAACTGGAGTTAAGGATGGTTGTTAGCTGTCAAGTTGATGCTGGAAACCAAACCCAGGTCCTCTGTAACAGTAGTCAGTGTTCTTAACCACTGAGCCATCTCTTCAGCCTCAGTATCTGATTTTTAATGGCAACGAAGAAACTATGTTTCTGAATTCCTGTCTAGGAAGGACTGGAGCATTCATTTAGTACTGGTTGCATGCCTATCCTGTTCTGGTGTCTCCCTTCTCCACTTCTCTCAGACCCAGGGGTTAATGCAGTCTTCCCGAGCCTTCTCTATAATCCTTGTGTCTGTTTCTCGTAGTCTGTCCATTTACTGGATGCTAGATGTAGCATAATGCATGCATCTGGGCCATTTGTCCTGGCTATGACTATGGCAGTCATATTTACAAGGTATGTGGGACTGGGCAGGAAAGTGGGTATTTCCTTGTTGCTTCCACTGTTCCATTTAGAAGAGGTCTAAACAACGACAACAACAAAACAACAACAACAGATCCTATTTATTACTGAGAACCATTCAGATAAAATTGGTATGTCAATAAAATAAGAAAACTGTTCTTGCTGTTCCACACACCAGAAACATTGCTGTCAGCAGCAGTGGGAGACACAGCTCAGCACTGGAAGCTACTCAGCCTGAGTTCTTTTCAGAGATTATACTCAGGTAAATCCAGGATACTGACTTACTTCATAGAAAAGAATTTCAGGATGAACTGGTATGAAGCAAAGCTGGGGTTTCTAAAGATAAGATGGAGTTTATTAAGGGAAAACTTTAGTATATACCTACTAAGTGTGGGTGCAGGTTTCTCAAGAGACTCACACTGCTGGTGTCTTGTATCACTTTTATATGGGACACTCTGAGGGATGAGAGTATTATTCATGAGTTAAGTTGAGGCAAAAGGTGAAAACTTTAGGAATAGGTCAGAATTTTCTTAGAATAAGGTTTACTTTCCTTTTCTGTCTTTATATGGAATTTTCCAAGTATGTCACAGTGTCAGATCATGGTGGGGGTAGGCAATTTTACAAGGCAAATAATAGGGAACTGCTTTTATAAGGAAAGAAAGGAAAGTCAGTTGTCCGCTGGGTTGGTCATGTTGATCTCGGCAGTCTGGGTGACCTTGCCATCACAGCTCCATAATGGTACTCCTTAACCACTGTGAAGTTTTATTCCTTTTGCCCTATGTCTATCTAGCTTACCTCATGGACAGCAAAACTTGAGGACACTCAAGAAAACACTCTGGAACAGTTTTCATTAGAGGGCTTCCCAGATCTCTGTTTGTGCTGTCTGTATCTTATCAGTGGAGAGAACTTGCTTACAGGGTGAGAATGTCTGAGACTTTACCTAATGGTATGGTTTTCAGTGAGACAGAAAAATGATTTGTCTCCATCTCCTCAGTGTCACATTTTCAGTTTTGAGTGGAATTCCTAGAGACTAACTAATTCAATCAAACTTACAAAGATGGGTGTTATTACACCTTATTTTTCATTGTGTGTGTTTGTGTGCATGCACATGGTGCCTGTTCAGAGGTTCTCTTCTTTCCTTCCACTGAGTCTTGGGATTTGAGATGAATTCAGGTGAGGCAAGCACCTTTACTTATTGAGGCATCTCCATGTGTTAAGATAGGGTTTTAAAAGTCTGTTTCTCAGAAAGATAATGTAACATACCCATTTGAACCCCCAGTATGGTAACATTCAAGCATAACCTCAATTGTACAAGATTCACTGTCATATAAATACTTCTCCTATGAAGGTGTAAAAAGTGACATAGCACTTGGGAGGCAGAGGCAGATCTCTGAGTTCAAGGCCAGACTGGTCTACATAGTGAGCTCCAGGATAGCTGGGACTATAGGGAGACCCTGTCTCAAAAAGACCAAAAAAAGTGGCACAGAGGAAGCCCTGCCCTTGGTGCAGACACTCTAATGAAAAAGACATACGTATCTAAAAAAGGCAGATTATAATATTCTGCCTGAGATAGGGATAAAATGCTGTGTGAGCACCAAGGAGAGACAGATGAGTTCTGACACTGGGGGAAGGTCTCTCTGAGCTGCACTGAAGTCACTGGAACAAAGGGGAAGATGATGGTACTGCTGATAACATAAGGGATGCAAGAGGTGGATCTGATTGAGAAGAAAGCCAGTAAGTTCAGTTTGCAGTATGTTGGGTTGAATGACAGCATGGCATCAGGGCGGCCATGTTTCTCAGGCTAGAACTGTGCAGAGGGGCCCATGCCTGAAGTTCAGGGGGGTGAACGAGCTTGACAAAGGCACAAAGGGAAGAAATGCTTCAGATTGAACCTACAGAGGACATGACATGAGCTGTTGTCTTTTCTGGTTTGTAAGAATGGTAGAAAAGTTCGGAGTAATCTTTAAGATTGCAACATTAAAGTTGTAAAAATTTGTCAGTAGTGTTTGTTGATGGGCAGCAACCTTTCCGTCTTGCCAGTGTATCCTAGGCAGGCTGGGTCCCTTTGTGCCTTTTTATGCTGTCTCTGTCTTTGCTCTTAGAGTTCAGTGCTCTCCTCACACCTACCTTTCATGTCAGCATCACAAAACTTTAAGGCTTCTTGTGATGTCTTCTCTTTATGAAGCCTGACTTTATTCTTCCGGTTCCCTGCCTAGTCTACATTTTGTTTTCTCTCTCAGCTGGATACAAGGAGAAAAACTTCATAAGACTGCTCTGCTTAGGGATCTGGCTCTCCTCAATTCTACTACAGGTTTCTTGAAGGCAGAGGTTAGGTCCAGTTTCCTGTATGTTTATTACATTCACATAAAACACTGTTGAACATTTGAATGAATAGTTTAATGAATGAATTAATAAATGAATGTAGGAATGAATGAATGAATGAATGAATGATGGTACTATGAAGGTCCACACAACTTAAAGACCATGTTAAGAGCTAAACTGAGTATTACAAGGTAGAAAAAACCTGGATTACCTTCACTCAGTACTCCTGAGGAAACGATCTCCCCAGGTGGCGAGCCGTGGTACCAGTACTTCAGTGTGGTAGCTATGCTGTGTGCAGCCAAGATACCTCCAAAGTGTTTTCCAGTGTTGGACAAGTTTTGAAGAGTCGTCACAAATTCTTTTTGTACCCACTCGCTGCAAGGAGAGAAAAAACAATTTCACACCAGAAAGAGGTATAGGAAGGATGTTTCCTGGACCTATGGAACTCAGTATAAGGAACCATATCCATAATCTAGACAGAAATACGATGCACATGGCCTTTCTTTGGGTGTCCTCAAACCCCATGAACACAGGACAGAAAAATAATACAATCTGGCAGAAAGTAACCACCAAATTTCAAACTAAAATATAGCAATAATATAAATATGGAACACAGAAAAGAAGCCAAAGACTCTAGGAACAATTTCTTTCATTACAAATAATATACCCTATGTAGATGCTTTTTTGGCATCACTTATAACCTTCATTTAAAATCAAATGATTTAGGGGCTGAAGAGACGGTTTAGCAGTTGGGAGCACTGGCTGCTCTTGCAGAGGATCTGGGTTTGGTTCCCAGCATCCACATGGTGACTAGCAACCACTCTTAACCTCAGTTCTAGGGGATTTGACAACCTTTTTTGATCTCCGTGGGCACTGCACAACACGGGTGCATTTATACACATGCAGGTAATACACTCATACACATAAAAATAAATATTTTTTATAATAAATCAAATGATTCCCATAGACAGTGAATTATTCACATAAAGACTGGGGCAATGTGGTTTTATGGTCTGAAGTCTAAATTTAGGAAAGAGACCCGCTGGATGACAGTGAGGTTAGCACTGCTAGTGGGCTAGCCAGGGCCATAGCTCCCTGCAACTCTAACTCTGACTTTGTGCAAGCAGTGCATGTAAGGGCATTTGTTCTGGGAGGGCTAGCTCAGCACACGCCATTCCTAGGCATGGAAGACATTCCTCTGGTCTGCGGAGGGGAAGGAAATAAGGGGCAATGGAAAGGCAACACTAAGACAGGGAGCTGTTGCAGAGTTCAGAAAGGTGCTTCAAACGGGCTCCTGTCTGCCTCTTCTCTTCTGCCTCATTGTAATGTTAGTGTCTTCCTGGATAAATCCATTCCATCTTCCCATCCATTCTCTACAGAACACACCATGCTACCATTTGCATTTTATCAGTGGGTAAACCGAGGCACAAATCTGATGCACTGTCTCTAACACTACACAGCTAGTAAGTGATGATGTGAAAATTCCAACATAGCAGGCTTCTTGCTTCTGGGGATCACCACATTTCAGCTCTGCCTCTCTTAGGACTCAACAGTCAATTTGACTTTGTCTGAGCATCATCCTGATTTCCCTTCTTCTAACTGTTTCAACTACTTTCAACTTGGATATACACCTGTCTTTACATTAAGATTCCCTTTGTGTATACTTGCTTTAAAGATAAATTTAACAGAACATATGGGCTATTTTCAAGATAACCTGAAATAAGAAAATTCATAATTTTAAAATAAGACAAATGGGGATGGCTAGTTACTATTCTGTGGAATTTTCTGTTCCTTTAGTAGAAAGCACAGACAAACATTTGTAAATGATGCACGTTATTTTTGAACAAAAATTTATAAAATGTTTTATAGGTAATTACAACTGTTTCACATCTATTTCATTTAGTTAATGTTGTTAGTATACATCACTTAAATATACTGTACCTGTCAAAAATCAAGCTTAACACAGAGTGAGAATATTTAGGAGGTCCCCTAACGGCACTCTCATATTTGTAAACTTTTGCTTTCCTCAGATCAACGTAGTTATTTCCACTGATATTACCCCAAATTATCACATCTTTGATGCCTATGCAGAACAGAAATCAGAAATTATCATAATGAAGTACATTAATATAAAAATTTCTTGAATACAATGTTTTGTCTGTATATTTGTTTTAGGACTGGTCCAGTAGTCCATTGGTCCAATGAAGTTTCTGTCTGCTAAACCGTACGAAAGACGGGTTCACCTCTCTAATCAGGGTTTATCAGTTTCTAGTAATACCCTGTGAATGGTATGGATATATGGTTAAATTCAAGGAATATTGAAATGCTCCCTGAAGGAAATTGCAAATGAAAATCATATCACTTGGGATATTCTTTACTGACAGAGAAAGAGAGAGAGAGAGAGAGAGAGAGAGAGAGAGAGAGAGAGATGCATGTGTATGTGCAGGTGAGTGTGCATGTGTAGGTCAGAAGACAACATCAGATGTCTTCTTGGATTGCTCCCCACCTTATTTTTGAGAAAGGGTCTCTCGTTGATTGAAGGGCTCACCGATTGACTGGACTTGCTGGCCAGTGAGTTCTGGGGATCTGTGTGTCTGCCCCTACTGTGCTAGGATTACTGTTGCCTGATACCATGCCTGGTTTTTATGTGGATGCTGGGGATCTGAACTCAGGTCCCCTTATTTGTGTGGCAGGCAATTTTACAACTGAGATGTCTCCTCAGCCCTGAGAGAAACTTTTTAATCTGTTTAGATTTTTACAAGGCACTTTTGATTCTAAGCAGAAATAGAAATTTGTTCAAGTATCTTAATTCTTTGGGTAGGTTTCATCTCGTAAAATTATGGTGATTATATTTTTGCGGGAGGTACTTCTAGGAACAAGCCTTTGAAGAAAACAAACTAGTTCTACACCATATCACGTGGAGAGGGAATGAATGAAGAAACAAGCACCACCCAATCATAGGGTCAGTGTTTATCCAAGGAAAAAAAAAGACGACATAAAAATAAAGAATGCCAATTAAGATGAATCTTCAGTTGTGCAATTTTTAGGACTGTTTGCTACAATATAAAAGTAAATGATTTTATTTACTTATGAACCTACCTATTAAAATATATATTCTGGTGATTAAATTATTTTGTGTTCTCTTGTAAGAAGTAAGATTGTTATACTAACCTTTGGGGTGACACTAAAGATGTATCCAAGAATATAGAAGTTAGGCTTCATTGAGCTTTTGGAGGGAGGGGGTAAGGAAATGTATACCAACACTGGCTGTGTTAGGTCTTCACTGACATCCTTCGCCGCTGAGTTAGACAGTTGGCTCACACACACTGTGTTCCCAACTCTCCTTGAGAGGATGCCTTGTGCTTCCTTCTTTCTCAATGGACACTCTTGCAGCTGCTCTAATGACACAACGAGCTGAAATATGTTAAATGTGATCTATTTTCTGATCCAGTCTCATTTTCACATGAGATATTTCTGATATCTACCAGTTGAAAGATCAGTAACAGAAACTGACCACCTACCATAAATCTATGAGGAAGTTTAACCTCCTTATAAGTGTAACCATGTGCCAGGCATTTCTTCTAGGCACATTAGAAATACTGTCTCATTGGATCCTCACAATAACTCTATGAAGGAGGTTCAGTTAACATTCTTGTTTGTTTTACAGATGTGAAAATTGAGACAAATAAGTTTGGCTGCTCAGGGTCACATGGGTGGAAAATGGGCAGTCATTGTGATATAGCACTAATGAGCTTTAAACAACACAGATTCCAGAAAATGGAATTTTAGGTTTGAAATAATTATTTGACTAATATGGGTCTTGTTGCATCAAATATTTACTAATTTTATAATGATGGACAAAGTCATAGAAGTAGATCAAAACAAGTTTGCACACTAGTTCTCCCTTATCCACAGTTCTACGTTCCATGGTTAAGCTCAGTTAACTACACTCTCTTTTTAGGGAAGGTGGAGCAGGAATGAGAAACTGAGCCTCAGTGCTCATACATGCTAGGCAGGATTTCTACCACTGAGCTACAATCCCAACCCTGCACTCTAAAATATTACATGGAAAATTCCAGAAATAAGCAATGATAAGTTTCAGATAACTTTAATTATAGTACATTGCTGTGACTGTTTTATTAAGATTATTATCATTTATTATTGCTAATCTCTAATTGCTTTGAATTAATAAATTAAACTTGATCACAGAATGTATATACAGAAAAAAGCTGGGCAGGGAGAATGGGGTACTCAGTGGTTTTCAACATTCTCTGAGGGAGGACTATACTGAAATTAAGTCAAATAGTCATGAGACACTCTTTGTATCTGCTTTCTCTTTGAGCCCTTATTTCAAAATGCAGACAAGATAGCAGCAGGAGTTCACTCACAGGAGGCTGTTGTTTTCATCTTTCTGGCCACTACGGCTTTTGCTTGGCCTTCCACCCCCAGCGCCACTGCGATGATGTTGTGTGCCAGGTTGGGGGCATACTGCATGAGTAAAACCGTTTTAAGATTCACAAAGGTTTTCCCTCCCACGATGACCTTGACAGACTCGTGAGCGTTCTTCTCCATCAGGTACCCATAGAGGCGACATAGTGGCACCCTGCTTCGCAGGCAGCCCTCCAGGGTGTACACCTCCTCCTCGGTGCTGTCGTCTAGGATGATGATGACTTGGGCCTGGTGGAAGGCCTCCTCCACCTTGGTACAGAAGGAGACGCTATGGAGGACCGGCGATGCCAGGTCCTCAGTTTCCATCACCATGCTTCTGAGACGGTTTTCCATCTGCTCCTTGCCAAACAGGGTCAGGCTTATCTTTGTGTCCATCCCAAACACATCACCGCTTAGTAAGAGGGGGATCAGATTGTAGCACACAGAGGCATTTCCACTATTAATATGCAAAAGTTGGATGGTAAATGGTTAGATACCATTGATTCTGTTGAGCATTTAATTCTTAGCAGGTATTTCTGCATGTGCACTAATAGGATGACTTAAAATTTTAAATAAAAATCCACACAGTTTTTTTGGGGGGGTCTTTCTGATACAGGGTCCTCCTGTAGCCCCAGCTGGCCTGGAACTCACTATGTAGACCAGACTGGCCTCAAACTCACAGAGACCCACCTGTCTCTGCCTCCCAAGTGCTGGGATTAAAGGCGTGTGCCAATAGATGGATGCTTTTGGACGCTCTTGTCAAGAAATCCCAGTGGACTCTGATATGAACAATTGAAATTTGCCCTGTTCTGACTTTTTTCTGGTTCCCTGTCTAGAACTTGTAACGCTAATTACTCTTGCCTTTACTTCTCCTTCACATCCCCTATTCACCAGTCAAGGACTTTCTTTTCTCCCCAGAGATAAGAGTTATTCAATTTGGGAATCTTTTAGATAGACCCACTGAAGGGGTACCTCAATTGCCTCACCCTGCATCTCTGTTCAGCATGGAAGAAGCCAGAGTGGTCCCGATTCCCTATTGGCAATTTGGGTAACCTTTTCAGAGGATGGTGTGATAAGAATAGGAGGTAGGAATTGCCTAGGAAGTTAGAGTGAAATGTTTTATGCTCACCATAACAGTTAGCAGATGTTCCTTTAGGATAAGAAATGCCCCTTGAATAACCCTCCCTAGCTATAGCATCCAACAACACCAATTAGCGTCTGCCCAGCACTTTCCTTCTCCTCACCTTCCCCCTCCCAACTACCAGTATATATGTCTGCTGCTTTCAAATAAAATTTTGAGGCTTGATCAGATCCTTGTCTGCCTCCATTTCCTTGCATTCCTTCAGGTTATTCTCCCGACCCCCCAACATTGAAGCTCCGTGGGCCGGGGCAGGAAGTTGTCACAAAAACGTGATGGGGAGATATGGGAGGTGTTGAAGGGGAAGGATTGGGCATGGATTTGATCAAAACACCTTATATGCATGTATGAAATTCTCAATAAAGTTATTTTAAAAGTTAAAAAAATCTAGTTACCTAGATACTTTAAATGTGAGGCATGAGCAGAACTAAACAAGTCTCATACCATCTCCTCTCTCTGAGAATCTGAAGACAACCTCAAAATAAGAAATTCACGGGTGTGTTTGGGTTTTCAAAGAAAAGAGCTCTCTACATGCGGAAAAAGAAAAATTTAAAAGCTCTGAATCACATTATTTTACTTACCTATTGATATTTCTTCTTGAAAAGAATAAGATATATGTTCCAGTTAGCCATAACTTACTTATATCTTTATCTACAAAGGAATGCCTTTTCTAAAAAGAATGGATTATCTTTCCACAGTCTCACAAAGGAAAGCCTTTATAGAGCTGTCTAGGACAAACACAGGCTGTGCTGTGCAATGTAGCTGAAACCACACGTATCTGGGTCTTCTATTTTGGTGATAATCAGTGTGGGGAAATTGGAGAATGCATCTGAGAATTTCTACTACTCTTGGTGGGTTTGGGGAGGGGTGCAAATGGTCATTTCATTTTATCCTTTCAAGGTGTTGTATGTAGTACGTCTGTGGGACAGGGTCATGGATCTTTACTACATAATTTTGACTCTTCTGTATTTCATAATACATATTTTCTTAAAACAAGTATATATTAGGACACACTTGCAGTGAGGACAGTGTGAGGCAGACTGAGGAGACGGAAGGAGAGAGAGCAAGAACAAAGCGAGTACAGAGATGGAAAGAGGGAGCTTGACAAAGGGGCAACAAGAAGGAGAAAAAGGAGCGAAGGGAGCAGGGCTGCAGACAGTGGGTGAGTATGGGAGCGTGAGTCAAGCAAAACCAGCAAATAGGAAGAGAGACTTGCAGTGATCAGATGGTGCGAATCAGAAAAGCTGCTTTTCGATTGTATGTAAATACGTGTGCATGTAAAATCAAAAACACATATGGGGATGGATGCTGGAAGATATACACATACACACATATACACATGCACACACACACACACACACACACACACACACACATCTCAAACCCCATCATGGAATTAATCCCATCTCACTGCCTTTTCTAAAAAATCAAAAGCCAGTCTTAGCAGTCCTAGGGCTTGATGGACTCACTTGGCAATCCAGACCCGCAAGGGGTTAATGAGATCTTTCAGGGTATCTTTCTCCAGCTCTTTTTCTATATGTGTCTGCAGGTTCTCTTTAGCAATGACCATCATCAGCTCTGTTGTCATGCTGGAAGTGACGCCATAGTAAAGCTAAATATTGGGAAAGAAAAAATTAGCCTCAGAGGACAGATCATTACTTTACAATGGTTAGAATGGAAAAGAGGCTTTGAGAGAGAAGAGAATGGCTTAGGAAGCAAGATATTTGAGATATAAAATAAGAGAATAATATTGTTGAAGATAAAGCAGTGCAGTTCCAGTACCTGGGCATGCTCCAAGAAGTCATTATACCCTCCCAGAAGCAAGCCCTTTCCTCCACGGTCCAGCAGCTCTCTCCAGATGATGGGGGAGTTTTTGTGATCCCACTTATTCTTTTCACACACATCTTCCAGCCACTCCTGTGGAATAATACTCCAATAAAAGTCACATATTAAATCTGCCTGAGAATTCAGTTCAATATTGTAGAATCTAAACAACAAACACCAGCTTGTTTTTAATGATTACATATAGATAATTTACACAGCTTCAAACAGTAAAATATAAACAGAGAAAATAGTGATGAGCCAGGTGTTGTAGCAACCACCTTTAATCCCAGCACTCAGAAGGCAGAGGGAGGCTGGATCTCTATGAGTTTGAGGCTATCCTGGTCTACATGGCAAATTCCAGGCCAGTTAGGGCTACAGGGAGACCTCTCAATTTTGAAAAAGTAAATAATGACTAGACCTCAGTGGATGGACTTTCACTGGGGAACATCTGGGGACACTGACTTGACACATTGGGCCTTAAAATGGGTGACAAGAGTATATGGGTTCCAGTGGGGGTTGGCTATTGGAGGGTGCCGGTGGGGACAGGGGGTATAAGGATGATTAAGATTGTTTGAAATATTCTGTATGAAATACACAAAAAGTCAATAAAAACAAATTTTAAAAGTAAATAATGATAAATAACAAATTAATAAGAAAGAATATTTTCCAAATTTAATGACTAAAGTATGAAAGTTTGCTCCTTTTGTGGAGGAGACCTGAGGTGCAACTGTTTAACTTAAAGAAAGGCCAGGTATTCTAATTTGATTTTTAAGAACATTAATTTACATAGGTGATATTTCCAGTTTTATGGCGACATAAATTTTCCTACTTCTTTTCAAATCTATGAACATGGTTTATATGACTCAGGCTGAATTAATTAGTTGAAATTTATCTGGGGGGGACTTCTGATATTATTTATCAGAAAAAGTTGAAGTTATCATCTTGTTTGGGTAGACCAGGCTTTCCAATGATAAGCTCTGAGAAGAGGCAAGGAGCATACTTCTTATCAGTAAAGTACAATATCTTAAAGTACAGCATCTTAAAGCTATACCATTGAAGGCATGTAAAATGAGGCTACCTTACAAGTAAACTCTTGGGAACTACTTTTGCTTGCTGGTGTTGAAGAGGTCCCTGTTCTTTCTATCCAAAATCCAGTAGATTGAAGTTTCCAACATGTCCCCTAAAATCACCGCATAGCCTGATTGTGACAGATACATTGTGCTGGAGGAAGATGGTGGCTCTGTCCCAAAGGACCTTCAGCACCAAGCAGAATAAGTTGATGTTCCTTGACAGCTAAGAGAATATATATAGGACTGGACCCTCAGAGTGCTGAATCAGGAGTGGAGCATAAAGAGACAGGGAGAGTTTGTCAGTGTGAATTATTCTTCTGTAGTTCAGGAGTACAAAACCCTAGTGAGGACCTCAGAGTACAGTGACAATGCAACATGCTGCTAGACTGGTCCTCAGAAGTCAGGAGAAAGTGATGATTCAAATAACACAAAAATGACCACCATGACAAGGAAGACAGTGGAAGAAGGGATCAAAAGGCTAGTGAGAGGCTGGTGAAATGACTCAGTGGGTTAAAATGCTCGCCTCCAAGCCTGACAACCTGAGTTTGATCACTGGGGTTGTCCTAGTTTGTCTCTTCATTGCTGTGACAAAATACTCTGACCACTACCAACTTGGGGAGGAAAGGCTTTATTTGTCTTACATGTCCCAGGTCACAGTTCACCAGGGAGCCCAAGGTAGGAACTCAGAACAAGAACCTCGAGGCAGGAGCTAGAGCACAGGCCATGGAGGATCACTGCTTACTGGCTTGCTCCCCTGGCCCCTGTTCAGCTTGCTTTCTTATGCAACACAGGCCCACCTGCCACCACCCACAGTGGGCTGGGCCCTCCCATATCACTCAACAATCAAGAAGATGCCCCATGAACATGGCCACAGGCCAGTCCAATGAAGGAAATTCCCCAATTGAGGCTCCCTTAACCCAGGTGTGTCAAGTTGACACTAAAGTTGTCCAGCACAGGAGTCCATACAGTGGAAAGAGAGAACCAACTCCTGAAAGTCGTCCTTTGACTTTCACACATGTGCCTTGGCACATGTTCCGCCCCCCATAATAAATAACTGTAGTAAAATGCTTTTAAAAAGGCTAGTGGACATTTTACTGTGGGGAGCTGCATAAACTACTAGTCAACCACATTTTCTGAAGGGGCCTGGACATTACTCCATTCATCAGAGTGGCAAGGAATGCACTGAAGAGAGAGAAGCCACACATGGCTGCTCATTCCAGGTCAGGGCTGTAGAGGAGCTGTTACAGAACTCTGTTCACTGGCAACTGGGATGATGAAATATGTAAGTACAGAAGCTAGAGAAAATGCCCACCAGGGAGCAGCTATTGTGCAAAGAATACTAACCAGCCCCGTTTGTGACAACTTCGACAGTTACAGACAAATGGCTCCACAGAAGTTAGGTGACAGTTCAAGAAAATGGGCTTCCACTCCTAAAAGTTATCACTGCTGCTGAATGGTCAATATACCAGCAACAAAGACCATTGCTGGATCCTGATAACGGCACTGTCCTTTGAGGATATCAACCAATCTTTTTGTGGTGAATTGATTCCACTGGACTCCTTTTACCATATAAAGTTCATTGATTTATCTAGATTTGAATCAATATATGTTCTGGAACTGCTTTTCCTGCTTGTAGTGTTTTGAACCAGAACCCTGGATAAGCATTCACAAAATGTTTAACTTACTGGTATAGATCTTGTACACAGCTTTAAGCCAAGGAGCTTACTTTATAGCAAAAGAGGTGCTGTGCTGAGCACGTAACTAGGGGATACACTATCCCTAACATATACCACATCAGCAAGCTTGATAGAGTATCAGGGTAAGCTAACAAAGATGCAGACAATAGCTAGAAGACTGACATCTTGCAAGGATGGGGCATCTCTTTCAGGTTGTAAAACATAAATCAGTGTCTTTTCTTCTAATAGCAGACTACCTGGGATCTAGGAACCAAGGAGCAGTATTAAGAGGACCTTGTTCAATATACTTCTAAGGGAGTCTTTTGGGGAAATTTATGCTTCAAAAACTCTACTTTAACCTATGTGGGTCAGAAGGTTCTAAATTCCCAAAGGGGATTATTTCTACCAGGGGACACAAGAAGAGTTTCACTAAGATTAAGCTATGGCTGCCAGTAGTCACCGGGAGCTGAGGGACCAGCACACGAAGATAGGAGTTATTACTCTGGAAGTAATAACTCTGCTGATCAAGAGAATGTACAATAGTATTACTAAGTGTGAAAAATATTTGGCACCAAAGTTATCATTTGGGACATCTTTGATGATGCTTTGCTCAATTTTGATAGCAAATGGGAAAGTGTAACAGTTACGTTTTGAAAAGGGACTGGGGCTCACACCCCTTAAGTACACAGACCTAGGTCACCACAATTAACAAATAGCCTGGGGTAGAAGAAGGTGAAGGGAACCTAGTGCAGAGATGATGAGTGTCTGTTTGACTCTGAAACTGTGTGCAGTGGGAAACACAGTTCATTAATGAACCTTCCTCTAATAAAGTTTTCCCAGGGAAAGATTGTGACTTGACTCTCAAAAGAGCTGTTACCAGACGGTATGAGTTTACTTAATGGAGCACATGGATCCAAAAGCACAGTGGGTGGACTGTAGCAGATGCTATCATCTACAGTGCAGGATCGCCCTTCCACCAGGAATATCGCAGGCTGACCTTTTGCTGAGTCTCTCTCTAGGAGACTCAGTCAAAGAGAAATCCCTTTATGAAAGATTGAGTTCCCTTCCCAGGAACAGTCCACATCAAGTGATTGATTGGTGTGACAGTACAAAAGCTCAGCTACCTTGCCCAAATATGAGTCTATTAGTCCTGTTGCTGTGGTAAAACACCATGACCAAGGCAACTAACAGAAGGAAGAGTTTATTTGATTTACAGTTCCAGAGGGTAAGAGTCTATCACCGCAGAGGAGGCATGGCAGGAGGCCGCCAGAACAGAAAGTTGAGAACTTACATTCCCAAGCATGCACAGGAAGCAGAGAAAGAAACTCCAAGTGGGACCAGGCTATGAAATCGCTAGGCCTGCCTCCAGTGTTCTTCCTCCTAAATCTCGGCAAAAGCGCCACCAAGTGGACCCAAGTGGTCAAATACTTGGATCCCATGAGGGATGTTCCTCATTCAAATATATCTATCTGTGTTCCAGTTTCTTTCTGTTGCTGTAATAAAAACACTGACCAAAACAAACTTGGGAGGAAGGATTTATTTTATCTCATATCTCACAGGTCACAGTTCATCACTGAGGGATGTCAGGGTAGGAACTCAGGGTTGGAACCTAGGGACAGGAGCTGAAGCACAGACCATATAGGAATGCTCCTTACTGGCTTACTCTCCCCTGGTTCATGCTCAGTCTGCTTTTTTATACAACACAGGACCGACTGCCCAGGGGTGGCATCACCAACAATGGATTGGACCCTTCCATATCACTCATCGATCAAGAAAATGTCCCACAGACATGGCCACAGGCCAATCCAATGGAGAAAATTCCTTAACTGAGGTTCCCTCTGCCCGGATGTGTCAAGTTGACAACTGAAGCTATCCAGTACACTCTGAAAGGCTAGCCCACACGAGTTCTCTGTAAGATCGTCTTACTCCTTTGTTCTAGCTGTACTTTAGTTCAGCTGCCCCCTTTGCCTAGTGCTGTTGCCTCATTCCTTCTCTGAATGTCATTCCAAGAGCACTTTCCAGTAAAACCTCTTCTCTAAAAATCTCCATCTTGTTAGGAAGCAACACAATCACAAATAGGGATATTTAAAATTAATAAGTTCTTATATCATTAGGAATTCATATGAAGAGAAAGTAAAGTTAACTAGTGCAGGGCAAGCTACTGGGAATGTTGGTAGGGTTAGGGGTGGTATCTCCAAATTTATTCCAGTCATTGGTTAGTGTCTCATTGGTTCTATAAAGTATTAGCAAAAATGTTCTGAGACTAGATAAGTAGAAGCTCATTTTTACTAGTATTTAAATGTCATTAACACATGAACATTCATTACTGGAAGCCAACATGATACATCATCTAATATTTTATCAAAGAAGAACATTTTCCTGAATAGGTGAATTTTAAAAAATTGTAAAGACATCTTACCTCCCAAACATCAGGATGTTGTGTAATTTTAAAAATCTGAAAATCAGGAAGATTCTTTTGCAAGTAGTCTGCCAGAAGTTCTGCCTTAGCATAATATGGACAGTCTGCTCTACCTAGAAAAGTGCAAATTAGACGTGCTTTCTTTCAGCACACATAAATTACCATGCAGTTACAAGTATCTGTCATATACTTAGGGAATAAGTCATGGTTACAAATAATTTTATAACATAAAATTATGGTATAAGCTTCCATGACAGAAACATATGGTTTTTGTTATATTAATAAATATAAGATACATTTCATCCAAGATCAGAATCTGATGTAATAAAGTTCTGTGGAAAGGAAAACGTTTTGAATACTTCCTCTCTTCCAGTACTGTAGTGCACTACACCATACTTTCTGTAAGAGGCTGTAAAATACAAATTAAGTGAGATGTACCAAGAGTGAACTTCTCATTATAAGCCACTCAAGAACACAGTGAGATGACTCAGCAGGTAAAAGCAATTGTTACAAAGCCTTGAGGACTGAGTTTGATCCCCAGGCCCTGCATGATGGAAAGAGAAACGACTCCTGCAAATTATCCTCTGACCTTCACACCATGGTATACATGCTTGAGCATTTCTCTCTCTCTCTCTCTCTCTCTCTCTCTCTCTCTCTCTCTCTTTCTCTCTCTCTCTCTCTCTCTCTCTCTCCCTCCCTCGCTCCCTCCCTTTTTCCCTCTTTCTCCCTGTCTCTCTCCCTCCCTCCCTCTCTCTCCCTCTTTTTCTCTCTCCTCATCTCCAACTCTATCGCAGTCTCTCTTTAGGTTTTAGTTACATGGCCAGTTCACGTGTTCCTGATATCAGAAGGCTCTGGGACAGACCATGTCATCATGTTTTGAAGGATCCATGGTGCCTTCCAGTCTGAACTGTCACCTTCACCACATCAAGTGGGGCCAAGTTTGTAAACCATCTTGCAGCCACATATACACAAAACAAAACTCAAAAGTCAGAAGTGCCTCAGGTTTCCAGAGAACCTCAAAAGCCCAGTTGCAGCGCTGGAACGTCTTGGAAAGACTTTACCGATTTAAGCACCTGGTCTAAACCTCAGGTTTCTTATCTATAAAAGAGACAGTTTGTGGCTCTACTGGGGACACCATCTCTTCCTATATTTTGCTGTACAGTGAAAGCAGGTGAGCAGCTGGCTTTTATGGGTCTGTGATCTACAATTGAGATGTGAGTGGACCAAGAGAGAAGAGACTGGAAATGATTGAGATC